GTAAATCATATTTTATATTTCAAAAAATATATATCCATTTGTAGCGTAAAATTAGTAGAATACATTATGACAATCAAAACCTAAAACTTGTATTTTTATACTGTATGCATCTTGAGTATAATGGTTTGAATATGATGAGTTTTTTGGTATGTTAGAAAGGGATAGTAGGAGGTTTAATGGAGAATACATATTCATATAATAATATGAATGCACACATAATTTTTGGTCAGTGGACGAATAATCATATATGGTGGTGTGTGTGCAAAACTGTGATAAAATGTGTGCACGTGTGTATTTCCAAATTTTCTGTTTGTGGTTCTCATTATAGGAATGGTAGGAGCATGGACTGACGTCCTTCCATTAGGTGTGTTATGTAGGCAAATCTTGTTGGTTTTCAAGGAAGAAGGGGTCGAGAACATTCCATGATGCTATATTGTTCTGCGGTGGATAAAAGATGCGTGTGCACAACTAATGTATGATGTAGCATGGGCAAAAAGCATGAATATGTAGGTGGAGACTGAAGTGAAATCTGTTGCCAATCAACTTTGGAATGAATTCAACAATTGCATGGGATTAGCTAACGGTTGGCAAAACAAAATGGAACAAATGTTGTCAGGCTACAACAGCTAAAAGAAGAGTTATAAAGTGCCAGACAGCCAACCCAACAAATTCATACCAACCAAACTATGATTGAATCACTAGGTCAAGCAACAGCACCTGGAGAAATTTACATTAAAGCACCTACAATTGCAAAGAACAAAGGTAGTGGGAAGGGATTGAAATCAACAGAGAAAAAGCAGCCAAGATGAAGAAAAAACGGGGGAGGACGTGCCATACATGCCACCGCGAGGGCCATGATAGCCGTAATTGTCCCAAAAAAGTAGTAGTTGATTAGTATAATCCTGTTTTCATTATTCAGAAATCATATGTTTTTTAATGCATTGCATGAGACCAAAACTATTTTCATTTTACCTCATTGATATGTTTGTCAATTTAATACATTATGATCAGCTGGGGTGTGTGCATTAAATAATTCAAAAAAATGAGGTAGAGCCCACTGTTGCATAGCAGTATTGGAACGAAAACTAAAGATGGTCGTAGTTCATCATGTACTGGTGCACACTTTTTACACTGCAGGTGCACAAAGGGATAATGGAGAAATAGGTGCCAATGTTGGGTTTAATTAATGTTAAATAGTTGTCTGGGAATGTTAGGTCTAAATGTGAGCATGCATTGGTTTAATTGTGAGCATGCGTGTGTTAAATTGTGTTCATGCACGGCTTTAAGTTTGTGCAACCATGACTTTTGGAAGGGTAATTCAGTTATTGCAAAACTATTACGTGTACAGTGACTTTTGGAAGGGTATAGGGTTGCATTCACATGCAAACTCCCTTAAAATACAAACCTGTGGGCAAATATGGGCCATAAGATTAGATTAGATTAATGGATTAGATTTTAAGGGAAAAACATATGCCAAGATCGTTCATAATAATTATAAGGGCATATAAGACAATTACATGGTAGCTTAATTACAGTAAAAATGTGATTTTGATATTTAATCTAAATTAAAGAAGATTAATTATAATAGGATTAAACAACAACACAATCGCAACCCCTAGCAGAGGCATTCTACTTCTACGGCAAACAAAATACAGAGAGGAATTTTCGGCGAAGCACCGCGGCGAGAAGTCATCGATGCGAACATGGAGTATACGTCACCATCACTACCAGGTAATTATCCCAACTTGATAATGATAGTCTAACGATATTATGTGATGTATTATGGAACTGTGTGAATTAGATTTTAGGGGAAAAACATGTATGCGTATAGATTTTAGGGGAAAATGATTCAGGATTAATAGTGTGAATTGGGTGATAATCTTTTGATGATCATGTATGCGTATAAGATGAATCACAAATCCTAACCATGAGTACGGGATGATTATTATGTTGGGAGGTGGAAAAGACACGATTATACAATCACGCACACAGTAAAACAACGCGATGCACACACTCCAGAACACACCCCTACTAAAATAACGTACTTACAGAGTAGGGCAGTGAATGAACCACGTAAATGAACACAATTTTAATCTTATTCAGATTAATAGTTTTTGAATGTTCATGCACATCATTTAAAATGGAACACAATTTTAATCTTTATTTTTTTATGGTCAACAAGAGAAGAACAATGTGAACACGATGCACAAAATTGTGTTATGGAAATAGGCGATGATAGTGCGAAATACTGAAGACCTGCAACACAAAATGAGAAGACCCCATATGAAGGACAGCGATTTGAAACAATAGAGATATGGATTAACTTCTACCGAGCATAATACTGTACTGTGTGCTTGAATGCAATAAAACGTGTGCAAACACAGTACACAATGATATAAAATAAGAAATAGGGTGTGTGCATGCGTTTAATTAACCGTGTGCACAGCAGAAGCCAAGACATAATTTACATAGCAGAAACGTGTGTGCATGTTCTAAGCAGTCGATGTGCGCAGCATATACCGATATATAATATGTACAACGACACAGAGACCGATCTTTATTATTGTATACGCACCTATCCAGAAAAAGTTGTATTAGATTCAGACTAGAATAAGTTTTTTTTTTTTTAAACATATAAAAATGCCATTTGTTTGGATTTATGACCCGTATTTAAATATTTATATTTATCAAACTTATTATTACTAGCAATTGTTGTTAACAACATAATAGCTTGGAGCAACCTACACACAGAGTAAAATCTATATGCGCACACATGTTGAACACCATGAAGACTATGGGCGTACACAGTAGTATATAGCGGTGCACACATCAACGAAACTATACCCACGCATAGGAACGTGAACGTCTATTCTAAAACCGTGAAAATAAGTAACACCAAAACTCAGTGCACACAGGAAAATATATACGCGCACAAATGTGGGATGGTGGAAAATAACGTTGCATGCAACAAATTAAATTGATTAGCATTCAGTATTAGCAAAAACCGAGTAAATGGCGTGTGCACACAGTACCATACGAATGTGCAAACATGGTAGAGGATATAACCAAATGCTAAACACCTCAACAGGAGACCGGAATGAGTGAAATTAAGTAAGATCAAGAGTTCACACCCATATAAACTACCAAGACAACCACAAGAAACATAACAAAGCCAAAAAAAGTGTTACCATAAATTAAAGACGGCTTGTGTGTCGTTACATTATCATAAAAAAACTAAAATGCGCCAAGATGATGCACGCACAATTAAAAGTCGATGTGTGCACAAGTGTAGTAAATCCAAAAACTAAAGTGAGCACAGTGAGCACAGTGAGCACAGTGTGCAGTAGTCGTGTGCACATCACACCAAAAAAACAAAACAGACCTAACTAGATACCACACGCCTACGCGGATGGAAGAGGAGCAGAGGAGCAGATATCAACTGTACGCCCAAGAAAAATTGCCTGGACTGTGTACATTATGTTCCGAAATCACAAGCTCCTCCATGTAACGCAGCCTGAGCTTGTGGAGAGTAGTAGTGTCCCCCTTTACTAGACCACAATCCCAATCAGGGACACGCTGGCCGACATACGATTCCATGTGCCACATCAAAAAGACCTCGCAATCAATCTTATTCCTTGAATCCCGCCAGGTCATTTCTACACATTCTTTTTCTTTACTTTAAAACTGGAAACGAAATCAATAACAAAACCCTCACCCATTAATAGAATAAACAAAGAGATAATTAAATACTAAAAAAATTGAAGACATGTGCATATTTGAAATCGATAACTGTTTTCGGGCAAAAACAAGTAGAAACTAATGCAGTGACAGTCAACCCAAGATTTGGTGGTGAATTAGGGACCATGCAGATTCATGCCTTCATCGGGAAAAGACAATAATGCAATTGAAAACAGAACATTCATATTAAGGCTACACTGGTTCTACACGAATTAAAAACTCAATAAAAACAACCAAAACATTGAACTTCAAAATTAGAAACAATATAGCATTATCTAGGCATCAGAAAAAGCAAGACAATAATTTGTTCCGATCCTACTGTGAGAGAATGGGTCAGGGGATCGAAGAGAACAGTACGTGCTTCCCCTGGTCCACCGCTATTCAATTTCTCAGTATTTATATACGCAAGATAGCATGTACACCTATACCCCTACTCTACAATTAAATTTGTTGCAAAAAATAATACGGAGTAATAATATAGTAATATTAAAGATGATGGTTCTGCCGGAATATTGGGTTAAGCGCATGAGGTGATTCTAGTGTAAACTTGGGAACTTGGAAGCATTGGACCATGTGTTAATAGTTGGGCAAAAACACCAGAAAAAGAAACCCTAGGTTGAAATTCCGCCAGAATCCGGCAAACACCCCTCTCCACCACCCCAAAACACGACTAAGATGCCAACAAAATACCAAAATCCCCAACAAAGAAGACAAAAAATGCACAAAACACAAGAAACCACCAAAGCAAAAAATAAAAATAAAAAAAAATCGACAATGCTCAGTAAAAATACCTCGGCCGACAGCTCCAACCGGTGGTCCCCCTCTTTGATGTGCCGCGGTCCCCACCGACTAGCATTTCTACGTGGAAGAGAAGACCAAACGATGAAGCAGCGAAGACGATGCGACCAGAAGACGATTTCAGCACACGGAGCAGGAGACGAACACAGGCGATGGACAATGAACGGCCGTGCGCGTGAAAGTTCTAGATAAGGAATAATTTGACTAGGTTTCAACCTTAGCAAAATACCAAAAATGTCCCCCTAAACATAAAAACATTAAAAACATATCGTATAAACACCAAAGCGCACGCCCAAATCAGGACCCTCCAATCTTAAAATCCAACGGCCCCATCTAGTCCACAGATTTGTATTTTAAGACGTGTTTTTACCTGAATGTAATTCTATATATATATATATATATATATATATATATATATATATATATATATATATATATATATATTCGCATGGGGACCAGAGGATATGTTAGGCATTGATCGCACGGTCATTTGTCATCGGTTAACTGTTGATCCGTCGGCAAAGCCTGTCAAGCAAAAAACGAGGCATTTGTCATCAGATCGAAGGGAATTCGTTCGGGAAGAGTTGAAGAAGATGGCGGCAATTGGTCATATCCGTCCGGTCACTTTTCCCGAATGGGTGGCAAATATAGTGCTGGTCCCAAAACCACCATCATGGCGCATGTGCATCGATTTTATAGACCTTAACAGAGCGAACCCGTTGGACCCCTACCCCTTGCCAAGCATCCATCAAATGGTGGACGAGACGGCTGGGGCGGATTTAATGAGTTTTATGGACGCTTTAAAGGGGTATCACCAATTCATAATGGCTCACGAAGATGAGAGTATGACTGCTTTTGTGACACCGGATGGCTTATATTGGTACAAAGTCATGTCGTTTGGTCTTCGGAATGCTAGAGCCACGTACCAGTGCATGGTCAACCTTTTGTTTGAGAAGTTGTTGGGTCATACCATGGAAGCATACATTGACGATATGCTTGTCAAAAGTCATGATCGGGTTGATCATGCCCGAGATCTTCGTCAATGCTTCCAAATCATGAGAACGTATCAGTTGCGCTTGAACCCTAATAAGTGCACGTTTGTAGTTCAAACGGGGAAATTTCTAGGTTTCATGATGACCAAGAGGGGGATCGAGCCAAATCCTTCAAGACATGCAACCACCTTCGACCGTTCGGGGGTCCAACAGCTCACTGGTCGGTTAGCTGCTTTGAGCCAATTTTTATCGAAGTTAGCCGAACGTGCTTTACCGTTCTTTAAAGTATTGAGAAAGGTCAACGGATTCCTTTGGGACGAAGAATGCCAGTCGGCTTTTGATGAATTGAAAGAGTATTTCATGTCTCCAATTGTCTTATCTAAGCCGGAACCCAGAGAGGATCTAGAGGTATGCCTCGCTGTATTTGATCGCGCCGTGAGTGCAGTATTGTGTCAGACGGACCACGAGTCGGTGCAGTGCCCTGTGTACTACGTTAGTCATGTGTTGCACGACCCAGAACTCCGCTATTCCCGGATGGAGAAAGCAGTCTACGCCTTGTACATAGCGGCTAAGAAATTGGCTCCTTATTTCCAAGGTCGACTGATTCGCGTCTTAACTGATCAACCTATCGAGGCCGTCTTCCGTACAGCTTCTTCCTCCGGACGTCTCGTTAAATGCGCATTGATGCTCACGCAATTCGCCATTGAGTATAAACCTCGACCGGCCATTAAGGGTCAAGCCTTAGCGGACTTTTTCGTCGAGTGCAACGCTCGGGATATGCAGCCTCAGGTTTTGGAGGATCCCGATGTAGCTTGGTGGGCAGTAGCTACGGATGGCTCGAACAACAGGAAAGGAGCCGGAGGAGGAATCGTGATCACCAGTTCTGAAGGATTTAAGGTATATTATGCCCTGATGTATCAGTTTACTCCCACCAATAACGAGGCTGGGTATGAGGCTTTCATTGTCGGTCTCCAGTACGCTCGAGATCTGGGGGCTACCTACGTCCGAGCGCAGACCGATTCTACTTTAGTTGTCGGGCAAGTATTGGGGGAGTATGAGGTTAATGGAAAGCGTTTTCTTTCGTATCGGGATTTGGCGTTGGAAAAATTAAGTTTCTTCCGGGCATATGCTGTCCGACATATTCCATGCCTAGATAATGCTGATGCAGATATACTTTCCAAGTTGGCTCAAGACGCACCAGAACACATTTCCAAGATTGCTCGGATCGTGGTGATTCCAGCGCCCAGCATCAATCGGTTACTGGTTGCCCCTGTCCAAGAAGAGGAGGAAACATGGAACACAGATATCTTAGGATATTTGCAAGACAATAAATTACCAGATGACCCTCAGAGGGCTCGAAAGGCCAAGCTTCGGGCACCTAGGTTTCAGGTGTTGGATGGTCGCCTGTACCATCGATCGTATGGGGGACCCTTGATGCGATGCTTGACTAAATTCGAAGCTGAACTTGTCATGAACGAGTTACATTTGGGGTTGTGTTCATCCCACCATGGTGGTCGATCTTTGGCTCGACGCATAATGGTCATCGGATATTATTGGTCGTCGATACAGCTAGACTGTGAGAAAATAGCGAAAGATTGTGAAGTCTGTCAGTTATATGCTCGGATGCCCGGACGTCCCGCAACCTATTACCAACCGGTAAGCACCGCTATCACGTTCGCCCGGTGGGGAGTGGATATTGTCAGACCTTTCCCTCAGTTGTCCGGCCGTCGACGCTTCATTATTGTGGCTATTAATTATTTTTCCAAGTGGATTGAAGCGGAACCTTTAGCCACAATCACTTCACAACAATGTGCCCAATTTTTGTGGCGGAACGTGATCTCACGCTTCGGTGTCCCGGTCCAATTGGTAACAGACAATGGACGACAATTTGAGGGGCAGTATTTTTTGAAATTTTTTAGCAACTGTTGGGACTACGTCTATACGGTCGTCCGTAGCTTATCCTCAAGGGAATGGCCAGGTCGAGAATGTGAACCGTATTATCCTCGAAGGATTGAAGAAAAAGTTACATTCTGTGGGCCAAAGCTGGCTGGATGAATTGCCATTTATCTTATGGACATACTGAACGATGCCCAGGGAAGCCACCAAAGAGACTCCGTTCGCGCTAGTATATGGAGCTGAGGCCCGTCTCCCGATCGAGGCTTGGATCCCGACCGCGCGAGAAAGAGCGTATGACGCGGAGGATAAATGAACGGCTCCTTATCACAGACCTTGATTGTGTAGAGGAGAAGAGAGAATTAGCCGCCCGCCATGCGGCTGAGTACCAAAAAAAGGTGAAGACAAGTCGAGATGTGCATGTTCGGCCTCGTTACTTCTAGGTCGGAGATTACGTTTTGCGCCGGAGAGAGGCGAGCCAGCTCTTGGAAGGAGGAAAATTCACACAAAATTGGGAAGGGCCATATGTCATTTCGGCAGTGGTTCGTCCAGGTACTTACCAACTGGAGACTACTACCCGGAGACCGATCGACCGAACGTGGAACTCCGAAAATTTGGTTTTATACCGGCATTAAGGATGATTGCCACTGTTGCTTCTATTTGTTTTTGGTTTAAGTTGGGAGTAAGCATCAACCTGCGTGTTGATTTGCTGTCTCAAAATGTCATGTAAAACCGCTCGGGAGATTACTGCCAATCTACGTATTGTGCTACCGATCGGTTATATCCATGTATAATTTTTATCGTAATATCAGTCGGATTCATCTGTTTCCGGTCAGTATTTTATCATTTTTAGTCTTTAGTCAGATTGATGTAGGTCGCATCCACTTCAGAGCTCGCCAAGTCGGACAACATAGATCATTTACATTGACCCGGTCTTAACCAATGAGGGTGATAACCCGACGACCACAATGTCGCATAAACTTGATCCGTCCCCAACCGATGAGGGTGATAACCCGACGACCACAATGTCACATAAACTTGACTCGGCCCCAACCAAGGAGGGTAATAACCCGCTGATTATAAAATCGCATAAACTTGGTCCGGTCGTACCCGAGCTGGACGATAGCTTAACAACCATAAAGTCGAAAGCTTAAACGTTCATATAGCGCGGGCGGGCAACGATCGCGATAACTTGAAAATAAGTTTGCAAAGACTATCTTTAATCACTGTCACCCGCACTCGTCCCTCTTACGGTTGACAGTGGGGGCTGGGAGGAGCTAGTAGCGCTTACAATTTAAAAGTAAAATCAAAAGCAATCAAAAACAAAATAAACCGATCATTTAAAAGAAATGAGTTAGATAGTAAGTGTTCGGTTGCTTGCGTTGAGTATAGTAAAAGGCGCTTCGTAAATGAAACTGTAAAAGCCGCTCGTGAGATTAACCGGTTCGCTAAAAAAATGTGTTTAGTTTCGTTAAAGTAGGTGAGTGTTAAAATAAACGTAAAAATGAGGAAGCATCGAAGTAAAATTAGAGATAAAAAGAGTTGTGTGCTCGGTACAACGGGACCGAGCTCCCGATCGATAAGTCTTTACAAAAATAAATAACGCAAGAAAAATCAGTCAAACGGCCGGAGCATCCTTTTTAGCCGCATCAGTCATAATAAAGCCTTGCCGATCGGACGGACCCTCCTTTTCCAACTCGAGATCTGTGACAATGGGCGATGGGTCGGAATACGGAGCAGGGCCGGGATCCGGAACGTCGTCCGGTAGATTGGCTAGCACGGTTTGGAGGTCATCCCCTTCGAAGACCTCTTCCATAATTGTCTGGGTTTCCTTCCGCATAGCCCTCTGACCGGAGGCGTAGGCCCAGTGCCCGAATGACCATACTAGGTCTTCCCCGAGCTTCTTCTTCATGAAAGCTCGGAAGAATTGCTCGGCAGACTCAGCATCCCGGCATAGGAAAGCTGCCAGGCCATCCATGTTGCTCAGGCGTGTTTTCAGCTCGTCTGCTTCCTTCTGAGCAACCCGAGTGTCTTTCTCGACCGATGACTAGGTTTCCTTTGAAGCCTTCAGTTCCTTCTTTAGGTCGGTGATCTCTTGGTCTTGCCGACTGAGGACTCGCTTTAATACCCTGGACTCGTTCGCCAGGAGGGCGCGGTAGTGCAGGTCGGTAAGGGCGTGAGTCAGTTGCGAAGATATAGGTTATCTATATTAACCACCAAGTGAGACGATCAAAAGGAATTAGAGCTTGAGTAGATACGGACCTGGATTAGGTCGTGCGCCCCGCGCTTGGCGACTTGGTTGGGCGTCCAACTCCTCAGGTTGTCGTCGGTCGGTAGTAAGGCGTTGATTTTCGACACGAGCGAGCTCGCAGGGTCCCCTCTAGTTAAGGCCTCGATCAGTGGAGTCTCAGGCGGGGGGGCTCGCTCGGCGGCATCGCTTGAGCGGCAGCACTTCCTCGTCGTCGCTCCTTGCTGCTTTGTCCTTGCCCTTCTTGTTGGGGGCTCGGATCGTTTTTAGATCTACCCCTGAACTGTGGGGCAGAGCCACTTCGGAAGCAAAGGTAGAGGTTCCGAGGGGTCGGTCAGTAGAAGCCGTCGGATCACTCGCCTCGGTCGTGGAAGCTGGTAGGACGGTCGTAGTCTTTTTCCTGAGCACGGGTTTAGCCCGGGGAGCCCAGTTTGAACCCGAGGCGGGGATAGGAAATCCTCGAGCCTGACCCATACCTGCAAAAATAAGCAACAAGCTTTGTTAATCAGAGAACGGTTATTGTGAAAAAACCCGGTAGTGTGGCGAAGAACAACATTCGTCAATCGGGATGTTCGGTTGTGGAGGTATGACGGCCCTCTTAGTCGTGGGCCGTGGCTTGTACTTCAATTCAAGATTGTATCGGAGGGGAGGTAGCCGAGCGTTGTCGTAGGCGTCCTTCGACCGGAAGTACTTGTAATCGTAGTATTCACAAGAAATACGAGAAGTGGCTTCTTGAAGGGCTTGGTTGGGCGGAGGTTGAACTTGTTTCCTGAAATGAGAGGCCCACGTCCTTTCAACCGGGAGGATCCATGGGTCATACTTAACAGAGAAGATCCTGTTTTTCCATCCCGGTTGTTTCCTGGGAGGTCTGGGATTGAGCAAAGATGCTCCCGAGACTGAGTGTAACACTCCAGATTTTCAAACTTTTAAAACTTATATAATAAAGGTAAATTCTCATTAAATCCCAAGCAGAGCAATACTAAACATAAGAATACGGGGTGTTATGCCACATCTGAGCTGGAGAACTCAGATGCACAGGCTAAACTATCTAATCATCCTTAAACAATATCATTACATCATCATGGCACGCAGGCCGAACAAGAACTACCTATCTAAGCCTTGGGTCCTCTAGCGCGCTCCGGAGCTAATCGTCTGTGCCTAAAAGCCAAATATATCTGTTCAGCGAATAATGCTGGTAACCCACTCTAACGCGTTGGAATACCGTATAAGTATATATATATATATATATATATATATATATATATATATATATATATATATATATATATATATATATATAAGAAAAGTCATTTTGAAGCAGGAAGATATATCCTAGGAAACTCTAGTTTCAAAATCGGAATAGACTCGACAAATAGGGATAAGCACATTCAACAGTTATAACCAAGCATGTAAAGATACTAGCATATATCCTATGGGATAAGCACATTCAACAGTTGTAACCAAGCATGTAAAGATACTAGCATGTATCCTATGGTCACGTATTCACTTCATCTCATTTATATCATCATTCATCTCATCACCCAAGCACACTTTGATGGCGCCACAGGACCAATTGCATGCCCATACATGAGGGTCAGCGCATATAGCTCTGACACGGCCCCGCAGCACCCTGCATCGTATCGCAACACGAAGGGGTCGATCGCAACCGACCGATGAGCCGCAGCTCATCATAATGTTTGATCGCAACCAAACAGTGGACCGCAGCCCAAGAGTGATCATCTGACCGCAGCGAGGAATATGAACCGCAGCTCATGTAAAACGTTTGATCGCAACCAAACGGTGGACCGCAGCCCGAGAGTGTAATTCTGACCGTAGCCAGCTTCTGAACCGCAGCTCAGGAATAACCAATTTGATCGCAACCAAATTGGGGTATCATGCACACATAACACATAGCAAGCACATGCAACCCAAATTAACACATTGGGAAAGGGGAGAAAGACGTATAATGAAACCTATGCGTGGTCGTCCACATACTAGGAATAATCCTAAGGGGTTCATACTTCTTTCACCTAGGCCAACGGGATACCAATTCAACTAGCATGCGATATATATCTAAGACTCATTTGTCCTATGAACGGTACCCGAAACATCAAACTAGACTTAGGCACGATAAACGGAATCCGTTGGGACACCACGAGGGTCGGGGAAACATCAAACGGGGAAGCCAAAGACCCAAATTGGGCAATTTCTAGCGGGTAGCCGGTGGGTGGAGGACCATCCGCCGTCGACAAGCCTCCGGGCAGCGGGTGTCCGGCGGGCAGCCGGCGGCGTCCTTTTTCGGCAGCGAGTAGGTGGCGGGTCCCCCTACCCCCCACTGACTCTTTATCAAAATAAACGTCCCGGGATCCTTTGTGGAACCCGAAACCATGCTTAGACACTTTTAAACGCAATTGATGACACCACGTAGACAATTAACGGATCAAAAGCAAGAATCATATAGCACATATCCTATCATGACTTCTAAGCATAATCAACACCCGAACATGCGAATTCCCACCCAAATATATCAAGAATAACACAATATGAGTTTCACGATTCATCCTAGGGCTCTAATCATATTTAAATCAACAAGATCATAGTTCATCTTTTAACATCAAGAAACATCAAGATTTATCAAGAACATCAAATAATCATCAAGAACCTCTTATCATCATCAAGATCATCAAGATCCCACATAAAATTATCCCATCAATTATCAAGATCATATCATCAATATTATAAACGATTCATCACGATACAAGCGTAGAGAAGAAGCCAAAGAAGATAATTATAGCAAAGAAAATAGGTTTTGTTAAGACATGGGTTACCTCTTAGCCTTAATTAATTTCTTTGGCTATGAAGGGTCTTTCTTTAAGATTTCTCCTTTCTTGATTTCTCCTAGGGGAATTCTTGG